CGGCGTCGGCGTCGAGCTCCAGCTCGGGGCTGCACCTTCTCGCCTCGCCCTCGTCCTTCGGGGACACCACCCACACCAAGGTTTTCGTGGGCGGGCTCTCCTGGGAGACCAACAGCGAGAGGCTCCGGCGCTTCTACGAGCGCTTCGGGGACATTCTCGAGGCCGTCGTCATCACCGACCGCTACTCTGGCCGCTCCAAGGGATACGGATTCGTCGGTGCCTCTCGATTTCGCTCCTTTTTCGCTGTTAATTTTCGCTTCTGTGTGTGCGCGCGCGTGGCAGATGGGCTGTGAGGACCTGCGTTGATTTTTGCTCGTCCTTCTTCCACAGGTGACATTCCGTGAAGCCGAGTCCGCGAGGAAGGCCTGCGAGGACCCCACGCCGGTGATCGACGGCAGGCGAGCCAATTGTAACCTGGCTTCGTTGGGTCGAGCCCAGCATCCCGTGCCCCCTGGTAATGGTATAGTATCCTTATACTCTCTACCGATTTGCAGTGTACTTGTTTCTCGTAATCACATTTCGAAATACTATGTCAAAAGTATTTAATGCCGAGTTAAAGATAAAGTTTAATACACTCGATTATTGGTGTAAAAATGTGGCTTCCCAACTGAGTTAATTAACTGCATCATGGTGCAGTTACTTACTGTGGAGTGTGGAATTGTATTGTCCATTAATCACATCAATTAATAAGAAGATAACGACCGAAGCTTTCTTACCTTGGTTACTTTTTTTTGAAGCAACTGGCAGGAGCTCTGCCTTTCAATTATGAAGAAAGAGTTCTTACCTTATTATTGATCAAAGTGTTGTTTTCTTACCTTGGTTATCACCACCAAATTATTGATCAAACAGAAAACACTACTGAACCAGCATTTATGTTAACAGAAGTGCCTATATGTTTATTGTGATTGATGCCCGTGGACTGTGCTGTTCATGTATTGACTTACTACTATTACTACTACTAATTACAACATGCTTATTCTCTGAGTTATATGATGAGCAAAATTATTTCCTTCTGGCTGCATAAACACTCACTCTTCTGGAAATTACCATGTTTATATGTGTTTCAACGTTGGCAATAACAGTATGTATTTTTAGGGCGGCCAAGTTCAGCTGGGTCCTACTTTGGTGTCCCAGTTACAAGGGCCTTTTATGTAGGGGGTTATGGCCACCACCGACCGTTTGCACTTGGGTACTACCAAGGATTTCCGGTTCCCCAGTACAGGTAAGATAATTTATGTCATCACTTGTTAGTTTTCCAATGTAACATTCTTTGTAACAAAACATGAAAATGCCCTGCACTTACTTTTGGAGAGTATATCTGATAATACGGTGTTTACTACTTAAATTAGCTTGTGCATATGGTATCTCCCCTTTCAAATGATGAAATAATCTGATCCAACCATGCTCATGGAACACGGTATGATCATATGACTGTTTGAAAGCCAATAGAAATGCATTCAGTTGTTCGTTTTTTTCCCTTTTGCAGTAACCCTTCATATGGGACCGAATACATCTATCCACAGGTTGAAGTGTTAAAAGCTATCAGCTTTCATATTCTTGTGCTGCATAAGACAGTTACACAAACCTTTGCCTATTCTGACAGATGTTCTCTTTGTAGGGTACACTAAACCCATATTCCGGTCAGCAATATCTTCCTATTTATGGAGTCTCAGCTGCAGCAAACACAACCAATCAAACATTTAGCCAGTTGAATCCATCCATTTCTGGTGGGGGCGATGGTTATTTGTCGGTTCATAGTTACAACATGCCTGGAAATCAATATGTGCAGCTCACTGGATCAAACTTTAGTAGTGCATCACCAACAGCTCGACCTTCCATTCAGACTCCTTTTTTAGTAGGTAATGTGGCATTCATGCCGTGCTGCAGTATAGTAGGATCTTTGTCTTCTTAACAAACTATGATATGCTTGGTCCCTTTTAAAATCTGGAAATTATTTAAGGTCTGTGTCATATTTGTGCATCCTTGATAGTTTTAGTTTGTGTTCAATGTCACTTGCTCATTCTATCCATCATGTTTCTTCTTAGCTTGAGTACATTTTTGTTCGGACCAAGATTATAGCTGTGTTTGTCTAAATTCTATCATTTTATGATGAGATATTTTCGTTATAAATATTTACTTTATGCTTGTTCACAAATTCTTTAAAATCTTTAATTCTTTTTGTAACAATTTTCAAGCTAAATTCATAAGGTCCAGAAAGATTGAAAGCATAGAAACATGCTTGGCATAGGCAGATCATTGTGGTTTTTTGCATTCCTAGGGCTGATATAATTGGTTCTCTACCATGTGACACCAGCCTCTTAAAAATATTCCCTTGTTTTTGAGATTACCTGTACCTATATAGATAGTGTTTGTTTATTTGAGTTGAATAAGTCATATGACTCGAGCTACATACACTCAGTAGCCAAGGTAATCATCACACGAACGCAAATGAACTGTAGATGTTTCTTTATGTTTTCTAGGTTTGAGATTTCTATTTTCTCCATCTGTGAATAATCCTGCATTAATTGGCTTTTGCAGCAACACCCATTCCCGCACATCCACACCTAATAATTCCAGCCCCCTCACCCCAGTTTACCCAAGCTAGTGGTTCAGACCAAAGAGCAAGCTGAACTGTGCATCCAAGCATTTGTACCTTGAGGTTTGCTTTGTTTTTACTGTTATCATCTTGTTTCCTTTCTGACAATTAGGTAACAACTTACTTTAGTGTTTTGGTTCATGGCAGGTACCCTTAGATTGCAGCAGGACTAAAAAGAGCAGTTTTGCTGTATTCACAGCATTTGTTCTTGCCTGGCAAGAAATCATCCTTGCATTCATAAGGTATGAACCTTGTCCTATCTGGTTTTCTGTTCCTAATATCTAGTTTCATGCATATATGTTATTTTGCATGTTGTTCTTTGTATGCTCACTGCTGTACTCCATAATCTGCTAAAATACCGAGCTAAGTATTGCTTAAAAGAAAAGGAAAGGAAGATAAGTTTTTATTAGCATGAAAAGTTCTGCAAAAGCAAGATAAGAGGACATGAAATCAAGATGTTCTTACAAGCAAAAAAATCGGGATGTAGGATGCTTATTCAAAATCATTCTGAAACAAAACCAAAAGTGCATTCTTTGTATCTAACTTAATTCGATAGCTATATTGATTGATAGATGCCCTGCAGCTGTATCACCACTAGAACGGAAAAGTTTTGCATCAGAACTGTTGTTCCTGTACCATGATACAAATCTTCATTTATTTTTGCCATTCTGTTTTGGGATGTTTCTTCCTTGCAGTCTGACTATTACTGATGGGTTATGTTTGTTATGGAAAAACCACAGGTTGTCGTTATCATGGTCAACAGATGTACCTGGAAATCGTGAAGTTGTCCCTATGGATGGGGCAAGTGATCCAAGAGCAACGGTTGCTCTTGCAGTTTCGCTCGGTTTAAATCGAATGCGTGATGGAGCATGAAGCCACAGGTGCAGCCTTATTGATCCTGTATCTGACAGGCTCGTGGAAATGTAGCTTATGCTGGAACGGAGTCCAGCATATGTAAGATGGATTAATCCAATGGGGATTAGCCATCGTGGTCTCGTGGCCTTCAGGTGATTGGTCATCTGAAAATTCGTGTAGTTAGTGTGTGATCCTAGTCCCAGACACCGTGCACAGGGTCTGATGACCAAGAAGTGTATCCAGTTGTACAAGCCTGCAGTCATCAACTCATCATCGTGTTGTCTGCATGACTGCATTCATCAGCCTTTGGACCTAACTCTGGAGGATCCAGTTACTCTCCTTTCCTGAGAGTTCCCATGAAGTGTATCCAGTTCTGTACAAGTATGCAGTCATCATCATGTTGTTTACACTACTGGTTGTAGCCAGTGATGTTCATTCGTCTGTACCAAATTCTTGGTGTTGTATGGGTCTCCCAATTAAGGTGTGATTTAGCTGTGTGCTGCTCTGTGTTTGGTGGTTCCGAGTATAGAGCACTTCTCTTGTACTTCAAAATAAAGCCATTTAATGGGAGTTCCATGATGCTGGTGCAAGTGATTTGTGCTAAATTGATAATGGCCTCGTTCGGCTGGTGCTAAAAAAGCACTGTTCATGGCTGAAATTTATTATTCACGGCTGATTTTCTCTTACACATTCTTTATATTCATCCGGATTTCTCCAACCGAATGGGGCCAATGTGTGTGTGATTTGTGCTCCTTTTACAGTTCATTTTGATCAAATAGGTTATATCAATACCTAAACAGCCTGATCATCTTGGTAGTCTGGGAGCTTTGAAAAAACATAGAGATTCTTTTTCGAGAGAGTTACTCGAACTATGCAGTTGATAGGCCCTTTTTCGCTTGTCTTGTATTTTTCTCTCACAACAAATCAGCGAATAGTATTTTCAGCCATGGCTTTTCAATAAAACGAACAGGATGTCTGTTTGACACAGCTCCTGGGTGTTCTGGCTTCACTACTGTTTTGTCACTGTAGCAAGAGGAATGGCGGTTTCGCCGACTCATCTTTGCTAGATCATTTTATGCCTGGGAATCAAAATGATTTTTGCTACAGTGTCAAACAATGTTGCTACAGTAGTTTTAGGTAGGAGCCGAAGCCTCCTAGAGCCCTGCCAAAATGGCCATTTGGGCTGTGTTTAGTTCGTGGATTTTGAGAATTTGTTATCGTAACACTTTCGTTTTTATTTAACAATTAGTGTTTCATCATGAACTAATTAGGCTCAAAACGTTCGTCTCGCAATTTCCAACCAAACTGTGTAATTAGTTTTTTTCCGTCTATATTTAATGTTCCATGCTACGTATCGTAAGATTCGATTTGATGGCTACTGCATCATTTTTTTAAAAAAATTTTAAACTAAACAAGCCCTTGATCTCTTGATCTGTTGTTCGGCGGCTAGAGCCCAGAGTTGGAATGTGGTAGGTGTTGGGGGTTATGGATCGGTTTCTTGACCTCCCCTTTGTAGCCCGTTTTAATCTACCATTCTCTCTCTTTATTCCTATATACCAAATACGCATACTCCTTCGTCCATGTCACCTGCAATTCCCGTCCGTCCGATCAACCGATCCAACAGTCCAGACTGTCTTCCCTGCCTCCTCTGCAAATCGAAACGACCGCCTTTCCTGTCTCCTCTGCAAACTTCGACAACCCTCCGTTCCTCTACCCGATAAAAAAGAGCGGCCACGCGTTCACTTCCACCACATCCTCCCGAAACTTCTCCGGTCTTCACACCTCCCCCGCTCCTAATCCCGCCCCGCGGAACGCCGCCCCTGCCTCTGGCGCCGCCACCAGCGAGGCCGCGCTGCTGGACGTCGCCCGCGAGCCCCTCACCCTCCCCGAGGTCGCCACGCGGCCGCTGGCCGCAGCGACGCCGCCGACGCACCGATGCCGCAGCTCTGCCCTCTCCGTCTCGGCGTCACGACGCGCTCCACCTCTCCCACCAACGCCGCCGGTAACCCCGTCCATGACCGGTGCCACGAAATTGCCTCTCCGCCCTCTCCGGCTCCGATTTGCGACGCGGTCCGACCTCTAGGACCCGACGCTGTGCCGCGCTACCACGGCAGCCCCGCGCGTGGCCAAACCCTAGCGGCGCAGCCCAGGCGGCGACGCCCGCAACGCCTCCGGTGGCAGCGCGTCCAGGTACTGCCGGCTCCCTCTTTTTTTTGTATTTTTTTTTTTTTTGCTTGCATCGTTGCTCAGTTTCCTCACCCTTCGTTGCTCATCTTTAGGATGCAGGATGATTGTGTCCTGGCCAAACGCCGACGAGGTGAACCCCTTTTCCTCTCTCTAATAAGCAGATGACTTAGGACTCCTTGATGTTGCAATTTTTGCTACCTATCTCCCTTATTAATTCCTGAAACCTGTTTCCTAATGTATGCGCTCATTGATATGTTCTGGACAAGAGTTGATCACAGTATTTGTAATTATCTTTCATAAGCATACAGATTTAATCTATATTTGTTTCTTATTCCATATGCTACTTCTTCCAATGATTGGGTGCCCAATGTGTGTTACCTGCAGAACCAAACTTTCAGTGTGTCCGTCTGCAATTAACCCTTGCTTATTTTCCCTGCTTTTGTCATTACTTAGATTCGTATGTCGTTGATATTTCAGGTCACATCTTCACTGCGAAATCGAAGAGTTAGTCCCACAAAGAAGAGAGCTCCACATCTTCCACAAGAACAAAACAACATAGTATGACACTATGTTTCTAATTGATCTAATAAGAAAGACTCTTGGGGCCTTCGTTCCAATAATGCATGATTTAAAATTGTAAGATCTATTAGTGCTACAATATAGATTATATAACGAGTTCCTGACAGCAATGTACATCAACTTAGCAGCAAATAATTTAAAATTGTAAGATCTGTTAGTGGTACAATATATATTTTATATAATGAGTTCCTGACAGCAATGTACATCAACTTATCAGCAGATAAGTTAAATAATAGGCTTATTTACTGATCTTCCTTCTATCCTTTTATGCAGTTCAAAATTTGCCATTAGATCTTTGTCTTCTGATCTTCTCATGTGGTTGGTATAGTACACTTCATAGGTTCAAAAAGAAAATTACCTCTAATGCATGTTTTTGTTAGTTAATTCTGCCATATTCTTCTAAATGACCAGGACTGCTGAGTCCCAGTCGGTGCCTATGTCTCCTCCCCCTACGTTGCTGCCCTCCTCACACTACAACCTCACTCCTCAGTTGTCCATGCTCAACAGATTGTCATATTCAATACAGATGGCATCAACTGTGAAACCAGCAGGTGAATAGTCAGCACTCAACTTCTGTTACTTGAGCCTTAGTCCTGTACATTTACCAATTAGTTTCAAGATACGGCACAAAAATTGCCATCGAACAAGTTTAAATAACATCTATGTTTCACTGAACAAAAAGCTGTATTATTGCTTTTTGCTCAAAATGCCATACGACGTTTACAGGACAAATAATTAAGCTACCGCCAAGATTAGTCGTGTAAGATATTTTCTTTGTTTGGGCAATATCAGCTACCAACCAAAATACACCCCATACGTAGATACCTCATCTACTGGCATCTAACAGTTTGATCAATCCTACTGATATTGAGAATATCTCTGCTGTCAACCCTATTGATCTTGAAATTATTTCTAATGAGCTTCAGTTGCTCATCCCAAACTATGGTTGTCCAGCAATGTTTACATTATGTACATTTTCTACTGTTGCATGCATGTACATCTATAACTACGTCATCAAATCCTCCCTATTATTCATTTCTAATTTTATTTTGAATATTTTTGGCATAACCTACTTCTGTGCTGGAAAGGAGCATCCTGATTCATAAGCTGCCGCTGGGTTCCCCAAAAAAAGGTTACCTTACCTCTCCAATACTTTTCTACTGTTGCATGCCTCTACGTCTGTCAAATGTTTGCTTTCTGAATTTTGTCACCAATTCCTCCCTATTATTCATTTCTAATTTTACTTCCAGTATTTTTGGCATAACCTACTTCTTCTATGCTGGAACGGAGCATCCTGATTCTACAGCTGCTGCTGGGTTCAAAAAAAAAAGGGTACATACTGCAATCCTAATCCTTTGCAGTTGACCTTAGCAAACGAAAAAAAAAGTTTTCTATATTGATCTTGCCTTTCCACTTTATACCATGTCATTGTAAGGTACTGCTGCAGATTTACTGTAAAGAGAGATGGATGTATTATTGACTTTATAATAAGATTGGAATGTTGCTTGGGACTGAAAGGCTATGTTGTTGTTGTTGTTGATAATAAGATTGGAATGTCTACTTTTGCATGATTATGCATCCATATATCCACCTTTTCGACATTACCAAGGCATTATTTGAACCATATCGTCGTCACCTACTAATTGACAAATAAGTTCATCTGTAATTTTACCACAATGCTCACTTCTTCCAAACTTTTTGTGCTAGTTCTTGATAAAATGCTCCTTTGTAGCGCGGTTTACTTCTTAATAAAATATAACACAGTTCTTCTACGTTGCTCAAGAAAAAAAAAATATCAATGCAATGAGGAAAAAAATCAATGCAATGCAAGAGGGTACGTTGCTCGTTTTGCCAAAGGAAAGAAAGACTCGTGCAGAAGCTTCAAGTCTTTTATGCTAAACACCAATCCGAAGCAACAGGCTATACTGGGTGTGTTTGGTTTTTACCTCATGCATCATGAGATGATGCATCATGAATTTATCCTATGAATTTTGGTGAAACCAACTTATTTCTAATGCATATACTAATTATTAGCTTGTGAAAAATGATGTGGTACTAATTCCATTCTACGAACCAAATAAAAAAGTAAGGAGTGACAAGATGATGAACCACCTCATTCCTTAAACCAAACACACCATTAAGTTTCTCATGCTAGGTCCTTGAGGTATGATGAACCAACCACTGCTTAGTTTTTGTTAGTTTAAACAAATACATATCTTTGCATCCAAACCTCGAGGAATTCTACGAGAGCACCAAAAGATGAAAAGATGATAGGAGCACATCACACAAGCATCCTAGCAAAGATGCTGTTACTCTTTTCGTTCCAAATTATAAGACATTTTTTACTTTTCTAGATACATTGCTTTTTCAATATATCTAGACATAGCGTCTGTTTGGATCCATTAGCACCAAAAAATTAACAACTAAAATTAGTACTAACGGATCCAAACAGACCTGCTAATAAACCAATCTGCTAATTATTAGTTGAAGGGCTGCTAACTATTAGTCCTATTAATAGATTTGAAGTTGCTAATAGTTCAGCACCTTCAACCCACAATCCAACCATCTATTAGCAGGATCCAAACAGCTAGCAGGATCCAAACAGCTCTCTAGTAACAATTAGCAATTATTAGCTATTAACTAGCTAATTTTTAGTGCTAATGGATCCAAACAAACCCATAGTATATATCTAAATACATAACAAAAATTACGTATCTTGAAAAACAAAAACGTCTTATAATTTGGAATGGATGGGAGTACGGAATTCCAATGGTGGATCTGTGCTGAAAAACATCATAGCTCAAATGCTACAAGCAATTGAATCGATGGGCCTGCACAGCCATTTTATCCCTAAACCCCAGCTGGTAAGAGCTTTTGGTTGGAACAGCACGCCTATCAAAGAACTCTTAACCGAAGATCAGGGTATCCAGTTCTGGTCTTGTATTTCTCGAACAGATCTTGCATCGCAACAACGAACTGTCTGTGGACTTCATTTATCTGTTAAGACACCAGAACAAAGTGCACTTTAGAACACCTCTGTTTTTTCCCCTTGGTAAGTTATACGTGTTTAAGTTATAAATAGCATTTCCTGAAAAGTTTTCCACGGTGGATTGCTCAAAAGGGTTTCTTTACCTCCTCAATGGTAGGTTGAGGATTCTTCACAACCTCAATTGGCCTCCCAACAACCACATGGATTGGTGTTGCAAAAGGGATGGGAGTCCTGCATTAGATAGTGCAGTAGACTCTTAAATTCTTGGATACCATTATGGCAATTAAACAGAAAATGTATCAAATTCATGTAGATTAAATATGCAGGACCAAACAAGAGAAATGCAATGCAGTAGAGAGTCACCCCAATTTTCCCCAGAAGATGATTGGAGAAAATTTGATTGCTCTAGCAATCTTGACAATTAACTTGCCACCTGGCCTCCACCATTTGTATACATAGCTCTGGTTCGAAGACAGGAAACATAATCAGGATCAGAAATTGAATATCTGGATTTATTGATAGGAACAAAGAATATCAAGTGCACATTTCTGGATTAACATTAGCTAGCCTCCTGAAGTTTGTAACAGATAACTTTTCATTAGTTGCATGCTTCAGCGCCTACAGTTAAGTGTAAAGGTATCATTACACTGCATATCACAAGCTAAAAGAAATGCTGTTACCTGTCCGAAAGCAAAAACGGGGACTACAGGGCAACCCATCTCTATAGCTATCTTAACAAAACCTTTTCTTGATTTAAGAAAAACAACCTGCCAATTGGAAGGATTGTTTGTTATTCAGTTAATATGATACACCTTCATTCAGCACTAAGTAGTCTAGCACAAGATCACGAGAGTTGAAAATAGAATGCAAATACTAACAAAAATACAAGAGGATCAAAGCAAACCTCTGAATCATGATCCATATGAAGTATTTCCTGCACACCTCCTGGCACTATAATACAGCTATAACCAGCTCCAAGGTAGGAGTAGAAACTCTTTCTCGATGCAGGAGCCAACCCCAACCACGTCCATATTTGCCTTAGGAAGGGGGTGTAGAACACCTAGAACCAACCAAACCACCGGGTGAGAACAGAGCTACACTAACTGTACTTCTTGCAAGCTAACATTGGTGGTCTCTCACCGCACTGCTTGCAAGAATCTTCATCTTTGGTAGCGGCATGAATCCAACAAGGTCCCCGAGGATCCCAACAGCGATGGGCAAAACTGAATGAGGCTCATACCCGAACACTGAAAACACAACA